ACCTTTAGGGGTCCCTGACAGTGGTGGTTTACTTGTTGTTTTCTCTGAATAACTTAATCCCTTTCATATTCAGTATTTGGTGAGTGAACGGAAAGCGGTCAAATTAATGGATTTTCGGATTCAAACAATTTGGTCCCTCGGAGTTAAAATAAAGTGAGGCCATAGGTCCTGGAATCAGCGCGAATAGTGTGTTGTTTGATTTACTTGAAAAAAAAACGACATATTAAACTATGCAGGGTTTATAGTTGATTTAGATGTCAGCTACAAAGTTCCCAAGGCCAGGTTGAAACGAACACAGCCACTATCGACCGGATAAATGAATGCAGCGGACGCCTTTTGGCCTGAACTTTGACCAACCACAGAATCATGCATTAGGCACAGTCTACGGTTAACTTTATTTTGTAAATCTTCCGTTTGTGTGAAGCCGAAGTGCGGTACCATACTCCGAAATTTACACAATAAATGTTTTTTTTTCTAAAGCTCTTAGCATCCTTCTAGTATACATACCTATAGTATGATATGACAAAGTGATGATAGCCAATGGCGATTTCAGTCTCCCTCATCTTTGTCCGTGCTGTATTTCTGCATATATGTTTATTTCGATTGAAAAAAGTTATTGGGGAAAGGATAAAAAACTGTATTCTATCATCATTTTATACTTATTGGGATGTCAATTTTCCAATATATATTTATATCCATTGAAATATCCGCACCCCAAGAAATTTAATTAGAATGGACAAAATACTTTAGGCAAAAAGGGACATTTGTTTGCAAATCTTCGAGTCTGGCACTCCATTTCGTCTTTAGACAAGTGGGAGCTGTAGGATAAACACTCAACTTTAAACACTGCCTATTTCAAGATGCTCTAGTTGCCCATTAGGCGTCCACAGCATTCATTTAACCTTTAGAAATTTGTAAGGGACTTATGACTAGATAGGCCTATTAATGCTTGCCTTGCCTGAGGGCATTGCCTCAGAAACTCGCAGCTCTTCCTTGTTAGGCAGGCGCCACCGACCTGGGTTTTTTCCAATGCAGATATGAGTTCTGTGTCCAGTGTGCGCGTGACAACCTTGAATAATTGGTTTTGTGTCTTAACTACCAACTGTGTACGAGTGGATAGACATCTACTTGTTTAGCTTTAATTGACTGCATCTCAACTGGTACAGGGTATTTTTTTGGACGAATTCTTTTCTACTGAAACAGTCAACCCTATGCTTAGGGTGCACAGGCTGGTTGCACTACATGTGTCTTACGTTTTTGGATGTCTTTCGACGGCTTTAAAGCTGCACTGCATATCGAGGAAGATCTTATTTTTACTGAAATTTATTCTTCACTGCTATGCTAGCTCACTATCAAATATTGTGTTCGTTCCATTAATTGGAGGTGAGCTTCTCGCTCGGCATTCGCAGACTTCGTTTAGTAAGCCTTCAAACAGTTAACTAGACGAGCTCCACGACACAGCTGATCTGTTCCAGGCAGACTAAATCGAAAAAGGACGAATTCCTTCCCCCCCCCACTACGGACCTAAATATCTGCACCTCGCGCCAACATTGAATGCACTAAGTAGAGGTTGTTTGTCTGCCTTTGTTATTGAGCCCGCAGGATATTGGGGTTCCTGATACAACTTCCACCTCCGTGCGTTGTATCTCCCACTTTGGTTGTGTGGATTCACTCTGTGTTCACGCTTTGCCTTTTGCTTTTTAAACACACAAGGAGGCGAGGTCGATGAAGCTGTTGGTCATCTACCTGGCTCTGGGCTGTCCCGCCCGGATACGCTTCGAGTACGACTTCGTGCATCTGTCAACGGTCAATGGTAAAACCCTGGTAAAGAATTCGCAGCAGGGCAATGCAATCGCAGACGGTATCAGCAATGGTCTCCGCCGGCTTCTTCACCTCAACGCCAGTGACTATCTCAACTTCAAGGACTGGACAGTAAGCAAACATCTCTTAACCTCTATGTGACAGTCGCTTAGGTTAACCACACAATATCCAAGAAGAAAAGACACTCGCATAACAGGGGCATATGAAAGAGGTCCATAAGAGTTTTTCTCGGGCAAGGAATCGGGTGTTTCGCCCCCGCCCCCGTGCGATCGGTGAGAATTGCGTACACGATTGTGCGCTAGCAGTACTAAGGTTGGCGCCGGCGATCAAGCAGGTGTCCTGGGCGTGTTAGTGCGTTTGGTCTGCATTCAGGCCGCATGAGCTGAGATTCAAACTGCCGCCCCCATCCTCCTGTTGTGTTAAACTCTTCGTCATGTGTGGGCTGGGCTCAGATGGAGTAAAAAGAGTGTATGCGTGTTTTTCCTTTCCTTTAGCACTGCACCCGTCCCAACCCAGGTGACTGATCAACTAGGGGGTGGCCTGTAGTTGGCACTTTTTTCCTCACTAAAAACAATCTGATGC